GGGGGGGGGGGGGGGGGGGGGGGGGGGGGGGTGGGGCCAGGCATCAGGTGAGCCATGTGCAGCAGGGGTGGAGAGCCACTGGACTAGAAGGTATTGACCCTTTCCCCAGCACAACCAGCCCCAGGGCCAGCTCTAGGAACAGTCACTAAGTCTGTGGGATAGAAATTATTACAACACGTAACTACCTACAAGCCACTTTCACTTCAGAACTTACTTCAGGCAAACTGCATGAGAAACTTCCCCACTGACCCCGACCTCAGCCCACACAAACCCCCCACCCGGGAGCGCAGAGTGCGTTTTCCCGCCCAGCAAGCTCCCCGGACCCAGAGGGAGCCCCGTGCAACCCACATGCTCTGCCACCATAGACCTCAGCTGATTTTAGAGCCCAGCACACCCACAGCACACACCTAACCCCAGTTATCTTAGCAGATGAGCAAGACTTCTGAAGGACAAGAAAGTTTAAAAAAAAAAGCAAACAAACAAAAAAAAACCCCACTTATTTCTGGATAGACTGAAATACAAATGGGAAAAAGCATGTATGTCTGTCTGTTTCCTGTCCAGGGGCCCCAACTTGCCCAAAATGGGCCTGAAGTGCAGAATAGAGCAAGTTTGGGAGAGGAAACGAGCAGAAAGGAGGAGGGAAGGGAGCACGGTCGGCCACAGAGCTTCCCAGGTGTTGTCATCTTCCCCCTCTGTGCGGCCCCCTCCCATTAGGCAATAGGGGGCAGAGGCTAAAAGTGTGGCCTCCAAGACTACAAGGAACAACAGGGAACAGAACATGTTCAATAACACCACAGGGATGCCTTCAGCCACATTCAGAGTGCGGGAAAGTCTACAGGACAAACCAGTTTCTCAACAGATAAGCAAGGAAAAAAAGGAGGGGAGGAGAACTAATAGGTTCGAAGGCACGTATCAGTCAACTATAATGTGTGGGCCTCTGGGATCCTGATGCAAACAAACTGATTATTTAAAATATGATGTGACAATCAGGGAAATGTGAACAGTGCGATGGACTGATGTGTCCCCCCCCCTCCCAAAAAAAGTCATGTGCTGAAAGCAGCCAATATGGTGAAAAGAAGTGTTTGAAGGGGAGGGTGGGGGCTCAGTTTGAGGAAGAAGAGTTCAGCAGCTGTGGGTCATGCAGGTCTTTGGGGCCCCTTCGAAAGTGAGGTCCTTATTTCAGAAGCAGAGGAAGCCACTGGAGGGTGT